CTGGATAATCAACACCAACAATATTGTATCAGAAAAATTATAGCTATTGCCATCCGATCAACGTACTACATATTTTGCTGTAGAAATAAAGAATGGACAAATCCCGAACTAATGAACATTTAAAGTAACTATTTCTGTAAATAAGTAGTAATTTTTGTATATAAAATTATAACCATGCACGTATAAGTGATTCAAGTAGTCAATTGTAGGTTACCTCAAGAAGTGAGATTTACAATTGTATATATCTATAAATGTTCTATTAATAAAGTTTTCATTATTATTATTATTATTATTATTATTATTATTATTATTATTATTATTATTATTATTACATGTTTTTCACAGCTTTGTTCTTATGCTGGCTATGTTTTTCTTTGGAAGCTGGCTACAACCAGTAGCCTCAGGTCCCAAAGATTTTAGCTTTCCAAGATTCTTCTCAGTATTCTTGCCGTCCCTAACAATGCTGTTTTTTGTAGAAGTTCTATTCTTATATGTATTCCCAATTTCTCAATCCACTTATCCAGTTTATTACTAACTGCTCCTAAGGCACCTACTACTATTGGAATGACTTCTACTTTTTTCATTGCCCATATTTTCCGAATTTCCCTTTTTAACTCCTCATACTTTTCTACCTTCTCTGTTTCTTTCATACCAATTCTACAGTCCCCTGGAACTGCGATGTCTATGATCTTGCATTCCTTTTCCTTCTTTAAAACCAATACAATATCAGGTCTTCGACATTCAATCACATGATCGCACTGTATGTTAATTATTATTATTATTATTATTATTATTATTATTATTATTATTATTAGACTTTTCGGCCAGACATCGCCCTAATAAAGAATGGTGTCCTATATGTAATGGAACTTACATGTTGCTTCGAAACGAATGCAGAGAAATCAAGAGAATATAAGCAAGCAAAATACAGGACATTACAACAAGATAGTAAAGGCAGATGGAGAGGCTTCCAATTTTTCACGATCGAAATAACTTCTCTTGGAATTGTAACATCTCACTTTGAAGATATAAAAGTGTTATTTAAGGGAACTAATATTAACTTTCAAAGGATGATCTCCAAGTGTATGGAAGTGGCCATGAGGGCTTCCTTCTACATTTATATACGGCGGAACAAAGAATGGACGAGCCCTAATATACTTAAATTTTACTAATGTAGACAAGTATGAACATTTAACTGCCTGTTTTCTCAGTGGACTGCCCTGCGTTCACGCAGGAGATAAACACTTGAGTTGTTTTTATGACTATAGTACATTATATCAGTTTTATAGAATAGTTTTAGTTAGTAATCCCGATCTTTTATATACTTAATTGTTAGCAATAAATCCTGTTTCCATTATTATTATTATTATTATTATTATTATTATTATCATTATCATTATTATTATTATTGTTATTATATTACCATCATTTAACGTGACAGATTGCTTTACTTATTTTTCTAAATCTCTGGGTAAAATTAATCCCAATAGACTGTTTAACATTCCCAGCTGGATTCCAAAGTTATCTGATCCCGAAGTTCAATTCAACCTTGACCCCCCGACTTATCAACAAATTACTAATGTGATACGTAAAATGAAATCGTCTGGCTCTCCTTGCCCCCTTGATCAGCTTTCGATAATATGCTTTAAGCGATGTCCTTTTCTGAGAACGTACCTCAGTGAACTAATTCATGACGTTTGGCTATCTGGAACTGTCCCGAATGAATGGAAAAAAGCCTGTACTATATTAATACATAAGAAAGGTAGCACTGATGACCCGTCAAATTTCCGTCCCATAACACTTGAGTCTATACCATTGAAAGTATTTACATCTTGTCTTCGAAACGCAATATATTCCTTCCTCGCATCCAATAACTTTATCGAACACGGCATACAAAAGGGCTTCACCCCTATTAACCTATCTGGCACTCTAGAACACACTGCGCAAATGGCTGACATTATCAACAAGCCCGGATCAGACAACGTGCTGTTGTCATCACCTTACTTGATCTGAAGAATGCTTTCGGCGAAGTCCATCATAATCTCATCCAATCAGTACTCGACTACCACCACATCCCAGAACACATAAAATTCGTTATAAAAAGTTTATACACTGAGTTCCAAACCTCAATAATTACCTCCGAATTCCGCACCCCTTTTATATCTGTTGGCCGTGGCGTATTGCAAGGAGATTGCCTCAGTCCTCTTCTTTTCAATATGTGCTTCAATACTTTTATCCAACATATCAAAGCTGAAAAGTACCGTCAGTTTGGCTTCTCCTTCAAGCTATTAAATCCTATCCACTGGTTCCAATTCGCTGATGACGCAGCCGTAATCACTGGCCAAGAATCTGAAAACCAGCATCTCTTAAATCGTTTTTCTATCTGGTGCCAATGGTCCAATATGATTATCAGAGTCGATAAATGTAGTACTTTTGGCATCAAGAAAGCCATCACAAAATCAGTCCAATATTTGCCGAAACTCCTCATCAACAATAATCTGATACCAACAATAAAGATTGGAGAAGCATTTCAATATTTAGGACGTTACTTTGATTTTAACATGTCGAACAATAACCATAAGACTGAACTAACCACTCTCGTTAATGAACTAATGACTGATATTGACTCGAAGCCACTCCACCCAAGAAATAAGCTTCTCGTATACAGTCGTTATGTCTTATCCAAAATATCGTGGCATTTCACCATCGCAACACTTTCCAAAACATGGGTTATTGAAAATATTGATCCCGTAGTCAACCAATACATCCGTAAATGGCTTGAAATTCCAATCTCAGGAACACTAAGTACTGTTTTTCTAACTCGCAACAAATTTGGTCAAAGTATTTATCCTATCGGTGAAATTTATCCAATGCCAAACAGTTCTTCGAAAAGCTTTAAAACTTTCTCCAAATCAATCAATCAACGAACTGTGGAAATCCACTAATACTCATACTAATATCCAATACGACTTTTATAACTCAACCAAAGAAGTGCTTAAAGACTTTCGGTCTGAACATGAAGATAAACTCCAAAATCAATTAACTTGTCAGGGATCCTTTTTCTCTAGTATAACAAAGTTCTCCTTGTCGCATCTTAGCAAAGTGTGGTCTACTGCTCAATCAAAACTTCCGAAAAACATTTATAATTTTACCATACGCTATATCAATAACTCTCTTCCGACACGCAAGAACCTTAGCAGATGGGGATTGTCTTCAAGTTCAGAATGCTCCTTTTGTCTTGGCCCAGAATCATTATTGCACGTGGTCGCTGGATGTCAGTGTTATCTCGATCGATTTACGTGGAGGCACAATTCAATCCTGAACTTCCTTGCCAATACCTTGCAAACTGTGAACGGTTCTGCCCTCTACGCTGATGTGCCTGGATTCAAAAGTCCTTCAATAATAACTGGTGATACGTATCGCCCGGATTTGTTGCTATCGTTATCAAATGGCTCTCTTTATGTGGTCGAGCTCACTGTTGGCTATGAGACAAACCTCGAGAACAACGTTAATCGGAAAAAAGCCAAATATAAAGAACTAGTAAAACAACTAGACAAACATTTTAACGAAGTAAGCTTTATAAATCTTTCCATGAGCTCCCTAGGTATTTTTGCGCAAGAATGCTCTACATTCTTAGAAATGTTAGGAAATGTTGGTCTGGACAAAAACTACCAAACGTACTGTGTTAGGAAAATGATGACTATTGCCATTCGAAGTACATACTATATTTTCTGCTGTCGAAATAAGGAATGGGAAAGTCCGGACTTGTTAACTATTTGAAATATCTGATTGTCTGGTGTATTTATATATTTTCATGTATTCTGTCTTGTCATTTTTATTAGTTCATATAGTTGTGATTCAAATAGCCAATTGTAAGTTACCTTAAATTAGTGAGATTTACAATTGTATATATATAGTATATAACAAAATTATTAAAGTTTCCATTATTATGCAGCGATCAGCGTCGGGGGCAGTCATGCTTTCGGCGCTCCTGCTATATTTTTAAAAGCTTTAGTTCTTGTTTAACTGCACTTTCGATAGTTCTGAGCTTTTACAAATTCAGTATGAAGATGAAAGGCTTCTACTTGGCAAATATTATGTTGTTCTGGTTGATTATGGGGCAACTCTGGACTATTAAAGCGACAATCTGTGAATATTGTGGCAAAGATTTTAAATCTTTGGGGAGACACATTTGGCGATGCAAATCTCGCGTTGGTCATCCGTCTCATGCTGAAAATGAAAGGCAAAGTAACAACGAACGTTCGTCGAATACAGAAAGGACTGACCACCAAGTCAATATCAATGCTGATGGTGAGCTGGCGGCAGTGGCGGCGCCAGGCCTCAGAATTCTTTTTTTGGGGGGCGGGGGCATTTGAGGGGCAAACTCATATTTGGGGGGGGGCAAGATAGAATTTTTAAAAAGGTACTGCTATTTTGCTCCATGCCGTTGTCACAGGACTTTCCCCAGGATTCGCCCTTACTTTCAAAAGGGGCAATATTCCTAGGGAATACCCCGGGGACAAATATCCCAGGAATATCGCCCCCCCCCCCCTCAGAGGGGCGAATGCCCCAGGAATATCGCCCCCCCTTTAGGATATTCGCCTCCCCCCCATATATGCGATGTGGTTTATTCAAATAATTTCGTGATACTTTCATCTTATCAGTACCTTAAGGCCCATACAGACCGGACGCTATTTGGCAACGCGACGCGAATTTCGGACGTTTCGTCCCGGATTGGGGTTCGGGCAGCGTTACCATGTTGACCGTCATGGTCAACTTGCGCCCTAAAACAGTTGAGATTATCTGTCCTAAATGAAATGCATACAAACTCGTATACAGGTCCTCGACTATTCGGGGAAATCTTCAAGTGTCAATGGAAATCTGGCGCATGCGCAACAAATTTCCCAGCTGTTCGCAAAACGCAAACTTCAAACGCCAAATCTTAATTTACTGCTTTGGTGAATAGATGACTATAGTGGTTAATGTGCTTTCTTAAATCATCGCTAAATACCACAAGTTTAATAATTGTTTAAATACATTTCAAAACTGGTGTAAAAAGCTATTATAATAGAGTAAGTAAAATAAGAAACTTCGCTAGCGGTTTGTTAAGATTGACCGACGTTTACGGCAAACGTAAACGTCAAGCTAAAGGTCTCTATTGACGTTTACGGCAAACGTCAAACCGCTAGCGAAGTTTTTGATTTTACAACTCTATTATATAGCTTTTACACCAGTTTTGAAATATGTTAAACAATTATCAAACTTGTGGTATTTAGCAATGATTTAATTAAGAAAGCAAATTAACCACTAGTCATGTATTCGCCAAAGCAGTAAATTAAGATTTGGCGTTTGAAGTTTACGTTTGGCGTATAATTTCATACTTGAACTGCTGCGAGTTAACATTCACCGAAGCACGTAAACGAACGTATATTCAGTTATGTTAATTTGCAAACGTAAGAAATTGAATTCTGATTGGCTCCACATGTAATATGTGTAAATGAGACCATAGGCATAGATATGCATATTGTTTGTAAAATGTGCGAATTCTTAAGACTTTATCATGTTGTCAGTTAATCACAATTTCGATTTGAAGCTACGTCGACATGCATGTGTAGTCGTGTAGATCACTATAGAGTCTTGAGATTTCCTAACGTACCATCGCATGCATCGTGCGAAAATATGTTTGCATATACAAAGTTCTCATTCTCGTGCAGACATATGTCCAACTATTTGCACAGAAAATGTTTGAATCTTAAAACTTCTCCAGACACTAAGAGTTCACAAGAGAATACATTAGTTAGTCGTTCAGCCTTCAAGGTCAAATCCCAAAAACAGACTGGCCATAAAAATTTTCTAACGATCCATTTTCTTTTATCGATTTTAAATTAAAATCGTTTTACTCTGGCTCGCCGTGTTTATATGCATGCTTCAATGCTGAAATATCGTTGATATGTACATGTCCTCGCTATAAATCTCGTAATGTCATGATTGATTCATGAACGAATTTAAACTCTTCACAAATATGTTTGCCTTTGGCTTTGGGAATCGAAAAATTTACGAAACATACTGTATTGAGTAGCGCAATGACAATGTCTATAGTATAGACATCTGGAGCAATTTGCCCTTTGGGATTTGTGTTTACTTTCATGCAAATTCATACACAGTACAGCATATGATATGGCACGAGACTGTCGAGTCATCAAATTCCATTGAAAATGAACTAAATTTTCGTGTACAAACAGCGGCCAAGGCGACTTCTATTCTTCCAAAGTTATATCAGTTAACATTCTGCGGATATTCTGAGTTTAATCAAGTAAGTAAAGAATGGCATGCATCAAGCGTGCCAGTTTATCAGGGAATGAGCAAGACGTCTCGAGTTATAACATTTCATGCATGCAAATTTCGCGTTTACGTTCAGTATACGTAAGCAATCGTATGTAAATCACGAACACACTGCCAACTTCCGTACGATTAAATTTGCCAAACGTTTATCCAATAAGAGCTTGCTATTATACGGTTGAGAACGGATTGAGTGCTATCAGCCAATAGGGGACTATAGTTTTGACGATTGATTCGTTCAGTAATGAGGCTTTACGTTCGTTTACGTGCTTTGGTGCATGTTAACTACGAGGACTTGATGTTGTTCAAGCATGAAATTTATACGCAAAACGCAAACTTCAAACGCCAAATCTTAATTTACTGCTTTGGTGAATACATGACTAGTGGCCAGTTTGCTTTCTTCAATCATTGCTAAATACCACAAATTTAATAATTGTTTAATACATTTCAAAACTGGTGTAAAAGCTATTATAATAGAGTTGTAAAATCAAAAACTTCGCTAGCGGTTTGACGTAAACGTCAATCTTAACGTGCCTATTGTGGACCGGTTGTCTCCTCGACAAAGCACGCAGTGAACAGTGACATGACTAACTATATAACAATTATGTTTGTGTACTTTAACAATACTGAGAAACATGGATGTTTATGAAAGTTAGCAATACTAATTCAGGTTTTAATAGCACGCTAATGAAGCGTGAGATTGTCCCCATGGGCAGTGAATACTAATAAAGTAAACAAATAAATTCATGATATTTTTCTGTGTTGGTGTAATATTGTACTCAGGTGAATATGGTGCTTGTGATGTGTATATCCACACCGGGCAAGCTTGAGAAATATGCCTGGCCACGGTGGAAATCGAAATAAATTCATTTTACAAGTACCTTAAAATATTCGCAACTGATCTTTATGGGCATTTAACAATGGCTCGCGCTGCGCGCTCGTAAATGCCCATAAAGATCTGCTGCTCATATTTTAACTAGTACGTAAAGTTTTGGAATTTCAAGCCTTGTTGATCCCTCTTTTCAAGTAGCCAAACCTTGCTTATACAGTAACTTCCCCATGACATTAAGTTTGTCGAAAAACGCTCATTCTTGTGCTTCAGTCAACATTTAGATACAAATTTAGTTTTTCTATATAGTTTATTTAAAACAATTAGACTACTCGGTCTCGTTGTCTAATTGTCAACTATAGCCCAAGCTCGTCTATGTAAATTCTTCGTATATTTGACTATAAAAGACCTACCTTGAAAACACAATAACACCACAGTCAGTAGCAATACTCGGAACATATTTTCAAATTCGATAAATATCTCACTGACAAAAAGAGTCTTCAGACACGATCTACATGTATGACAATGGTCATGCATAGACACACACTGAATGCACGCTCATCAAACTAGGACAAGCAACAAAACGTTTTAAACGCAACGTTTCAGGGGGCAATCACGCCCTAGCTTTCGACCAATGGAAACTGATCGTTTGAAGCATGCAGCTGTTATTATCAGTGACGTAATACAATATGTTTTGATTGGTGCAACGACATGTTTTGATTGAACAATAGCTACGTTTGTACGTAAGAAAGCATTTGTTCCTGTTTCAAGCGAGCTTTCAAATATCACTATTTAACTACATAAACAATGGATACAGTTCAATTGCAAGTACAAATAGGGGAAACGAACGCCAGAACCAAATAATTACATTGATTTGGTTGATGTTATAAGGAAAGAAATTCCTAAAACGCGCAGGATTGACTTTAGTCTCCTGTATGAAAATGACGAAGGGGAGTATGTTGTTATGAATAGCCACGACCATTAAGTCCATTATGTATACGCATTGCTTTTGTATCTACAAAAACCATTCCCAGTACTGATGTATGGTGTTTAAAAATCCGGATATTTGAGGGATCTTCTCCTAGTGTCAAGGTTGTAGACGCGGCAGAGAACTGAAAAACGACAGCACAGCCACAGGTGGAATTGCTTGCAGGGCCACTTTGCAGGGCCTTGCATTCAAACGAGAATTGAAAGGGTTAGATCAGATCCATTCCATGCATGTCGGGGAATCAAATTTGAAATTAAATGTCAAATTCCATGCATGTCGGGGGATCAAATTTGAAGGAACTTAAAATCTCAATAAAAAAGCATAAAAGCGAACTGATTAAATTTGGAACTGAACTACAAAACAAAAAACTGTCTTTGCGACAAATAAAGACAGGATCAATCACAGAATTGAAAGTGACTTGTTTCAGTCAAGAAAAGAAGACTACTTTATTAACGGTTCTAAGAACTGGACCTTGTTGAGAAAACACACATATTTAGTCGAGAAATATTGTAAAGACCACATGTGGGGCAAGATCCCAGCCAAGCAAGACGTAGGAGAACTTCTTTCAATAGCCTTGGAAGAGAATAATCCCGCAATGGAATATCAAAGGGCGAAACAAAGACAAAGTGCTCAGCGTAAACATGGAAATCCATTTAAATCTCATTTAGAACGACCTGGCGTTCATTTTCCTAGTCCCTCTATGCGGCATGGAGAGGATTGTTCGTCAGCCACTGAAACCAAACTTTCGAGAGAGAATGTTTCACCCATTATTTTCACTGTCCCAAGTAACGCGAACGAAGAAAAAGAGCAATTGGCAATTATTCTAAGAGAGAGCCTTCGACAAACTTCCCGTCTAATTGGAGAATTGCAACAACACTGAGGCTCTTCGACTTCGTCCACTATGACAACTAGTCAGAATTTGCCCATGATCCCGAGTGCCCCGAATTACAAACATTTACCAGTGGATGATTCAGTCATGCTAGTTGATGTAAGTAATGCAACACCAGTAAGTTTGAACACCTCTTCGGGGGATGAAGAAGAGGCAGCGACACTACTTCTTGACTTGCGCGGACTTTCACACAAATGATAAACATTGTATTTGTAACTTCACATCAAGTTCATAATTATTAATAAGTTCACATTATATTTAATTTGTAAAGTATTCGTATAAAGAACGTCTCGTGGTGTGATGACTTGAAGTGGATGAGTTGCAGGTATAACAAGAGTCAAGCAGCAGACTGCTTAGAATGGGCATTATTGTTTGTATGGCAATAAGTGATTTTTATGCAATAAGTCAAATTTGTCTATGCTTGAATGTCTTGAAAAAGCTGGACCTGTCAAGGTTGACTTGTGTTGCACTGTTGATCGTTCTTGTGTTGATCGGTCCTATTAAATTATTTACACTATGTATATTTGTGTTAAAGTATTAGAGTAAAAATTTCAAATTCTGTTTATTAATACACGTATGCAGTGTAGCATGCAGTGTGAGACAATTTTCATTGTCAGTAATAATTTCAGTGTCACGTCATATTTTTAACATAGCATGAGTTTAGCAGTATAGTGTTCTTGATAAAAAACGTTGGAATATCAAAACATCTTTTTTATAGCCCCAATGCAATAGTAAATAGATCGACGCCCTGTCATGTGCCTATGAATTCTAGTTTCAAACACTCATTAATAATTCATAAGCGTTTTGGTAAATCATGTCAACCATAATATGTCACGTGCAATGGGTTTAAACCTGATAAAACACTCCTAATTAGTATTCTTTATAATAGATAGCTGTAGAGTGTTATACATACCTATGAAGTGTTATGGATACCATGCAGTGGAAAGTTATGGATACAAGTGCAGTGTTATAGATAGGTATGGAGTGTTGTAGATAGCTATGGAGCGCTCTAGATAGCTATGGAGAGTTATGGATACCAGTGGAGTGTTATAGATAGGTATGGAGTGTTATAGACACCTATGGATTGTTATAGGTAGCTATGGAGCGTTGTATAGATAGCTATGGAGTGTTATAGATACCTATGGAGTGTTATGGATACCAGTGGAGTGTTATAGATAGCTATGGAGAGTTATGGAAACCAGTGGAGTGTGATAGATAGGTATGGAGTGTTATAGATACCTATGGATTGTTATAGGTAGCTATGGAGCGTTGTATATATAGCTATGGAGAGTTATAGATACCTATGGAGTGTTATGGATGCCAGTGGAGTGTTATAGATAGCTATGGAGAGTTATGGAAACCAGTGGAGTGTGATAGATAGGTATGGAGTGTTATAGATAGTTATGCAGTGTTATAGATACCTATGTAGCGTTGTAGATATATAGCTATGGAGCGTTATAGATAGCAATGACGTGTTGTAGATACCTATGGATTGTTATGGACGCAAGTAGAGTGTTATAGATAGCTATGGAGTGTTGTAGATACCTATGGAGTGTTATGGATACCAGCGGAGTGTTACAGATAGCTATGCAGAGTTACAGATAGCTATGAAGTGTTATAAATACCTATGGAGTGTTATGGATACCAGTGGAGAGTTGTGGATACCAGTGAAGTGTTATAGATAGGTATGGAGTGTTGTAGATAGCTATGGAGCATTCTTGATAACGATGGTGTGTTATAGATACCTATGGAGTGCTATACTGTAGGTAGCTATGGAGCGTTATAGATACCTATGGATTGTTATACATAGATATGGAGTATTATGGATACCAGTGGAGTGTTATATAAATAGCTATGGAGCGTTGTAGATAGCTATGGAGCATTATAGATAGCAATGGAGTGTTGTGGATACCGATTAGATTAGATTAGATCAGATAATTTTTATTTAGGCACAGTGGTTCTATCAGAAATAATATTTACGAACGTTAAATTATTAAATCTGGTCTACCTAGAAGCTGTGTATGTTTTAACAGATCTATATTTACATTTTTTTATTTTTTTTTATGTAGATCAAATACAATAGATGTGAATATGTAATAGATACAAAGTTTATTTACAGTGAAATCGCGAATTTACAGGTTGCCAATGCAGAAGTTATGTTTCTTAATTTGTGTCTTAAATTTTGATAAACTTTTTTTCTCTTTAATTAAGTTCATTTAATTTGGCAAGGAGTTCCAAAGGAAAGCCGCAGAAACTGCAAAGTTTTTTTTATAACATTCAGTTCGAACATTAGGTATCTGAACATTTAAATCAGATGACCTCAAGTCATATGTAGTTGAGCCAGGCTGCTTCTCAAATATTTCAGATAGATGTGAAGGAGAGTTTCCATTCATAATTTTGTGCATCATTATAGCTTTCTGAACTTTGCGGTTGTGTGCCAGAATTGACCAACCCAAATCAGAAAAAACATTGCATGTAAATATATATAGTCTAACGTTAGTAACGTTATTAATTTTGCACCTAGTTTCGAAGAAATGCAAGCATGATCGACTTATACTGAAACACCAAATTTCTGTCAACGGACATGGTCTAAAGGCCGTTTTCCCGACATTGCATTCGCTTGCCAAGCAATGTGTGATCCAGCTCTAACCGCAAGTTCATGGATGTGTCCGACTTCTTTTTCTTTCCATGTACCTGCATTTTAGGAAAGGTAAGGGAGCATTCATTTTTTAGCTGGAGGGGGGGGGGGGCGGGTGGGCCGGAGGAACTGATGTCTAATTCCTTGCGAAAACTTGGAACCCCCAAGACAAAAGTTGATAGTAAAAAATTATGACCCCCTATTTGTTTTACTGAAAATTTTTTGACCCCTTATCCTAACTATTAAACCACACGGTGTCGTTTCCATAACGTCTCAGGGCCGTAGGAAGATCTTTTTTATTGGGGTGCTGAATGCGAGGGCCGAAGGCCCGAGGAAAGTTTTAAATCTAGAGTCTCTGAAATGCCATTTCCTGGCCTTTGGGGGAAGAGTTGACAGAATTTTGATGGTCAGAAAACAGCGTTTTAGTATGTCGAAATTGACAATTTGCTAGTACTAAATGGGCGAAGGCGTATTTAATTTACTATATATTGGATAACTAGGATAAGTTGTAGGAAACTGTGGGTACTATCTTCATTCTTTGCAGTTTGTCATGGATAATGTAGCCGCTTAAAATTAATAAAGCTTAAAATTGATCAAGGTCTGCATGATTTTGAAGTCATGCAGATCTTGCAATCATGCATGATTTTGAAATCATGCTACGGTCCTGCGTTTTCTTTCATTCATGTTTTCACACAAAAACGGATAAAAACGAAGTCAATTGACGAACGTCATGGAAATGTTTTCTTATGGACTATGTGAACAGAGCGTCAAATGAATTTTGCTTCATTGTTATAGATGACGAGATAGTTGATAGATTCTGGACCTTTTTACTATTCTTGATCCAAATATTTCCAAATTCAATAAAACCATATTGGTGATTTTTTCACTGATTATTTTTATGACCCCCTCCATTTATACCAAAACTATAAAAAGACCCACCCCTTTGAAGCATGTCAAAATTGGCTGACACACCCCCAAGTTCCTCCGGCCCCTCCCGGCTGATACTCAGGCAAGAATACAAGAGAAGCGTCAGCTTATTTTCTGTAAGCCATGTGATTGTGACACCATTCGCCATGGGCCACTCTTCTCAACAGAATAGCATTTTTATAAATCTATCACAAAGGAGAGTGGCCATGCACGAGCCCAATGTTGGAATAAACAAACAGTAAATCTTTCAGGCTACTTTATATCGGCAAGCGGCAGACCGAATTTTCCTTCGGGATAACAGTTCCTTAAGGCTGTCATAACCTCCATGAGAAAATCTAGTTTAAAGCCATTTGTATTCTTGTATAAAACAACTGCTCATGTATATTTGAGATGCCACAAGGTTGACACAATTGCAGGTTAAGATTTTGCATGCACGAGATTCTGATACTAATTTCGTTTTCTAGGAAGATTCGCACTTTTACAGACCTATATGTTAATTAGTACACCAGTAGTTAATTAATTAATCCAATAACGTACAACTCCAGGCCAATGCAGGATAAATGTCATAGCCATCAGGTCAAATATGGTATACATACATATGACTGCCATCAGTCTTTATGATCTGGTGGAGAGAGTTTCTAGTTTTAAACTACTAGGTGCAGGGGCGCCGGAAGCAACATGAAGCGGCGGGGGCAGCCATGTGAAAAGGGCACTTACTCTTGAGCCTTAATTTTTGTGCGGGGGGAGGGCAATGCTCGTTAACATTTTGCTGTATAACGGATACTTCATTACTTGTACCTAATACAGTTAGACAAATTTCGGCATAGATTGGAAAATTTTTATTTGTTGCATGACACTAAAGACTAAAATGTATTATTGTAAAGCAACATGACAGTTATCAGTTATTTAGGAAGGTTTCCTTTTTTACTTTTTTTTTCATATAATAGGTGGAAACTGATTTGTACCGTTTCTGAGAGGAATTCAGATTCAAGTATGAGCTAAATTGTTTAAAAACAGTATTCAATTTCAATTCATGCAAAAAACGCATGACGTTCGAAGTGCAGTTTTGGTAAAAAGGCAACCTGCTGCCCCCGTGCTGCCCCCGTGCTGCCCCCGCACTGTTTAGGCAACAGGGGCAGCTGCCCCCGCTGCCCCCGTGGCTCCGGCGCCCCTGACTAGGTGTGTGGTTGACCAACAATCTTTCGTGGGATATACACGTAGACAAAATTTTAAAGAAAGCGAATTCACGCATTTAGTATGCTTTACGCCTATTAAAGAAAGCTGGATTAGCCCTTCCCTTCGCGTATTCCATTTTATCTTATGAAGAAGCATTACAGAAAAGTAAAATTAAACCACTGAGTGTAAGAAGAAGAGAAGATGCATGCAAGAAATTAAATAACTCACTTCGAGATCACACAACCTTTTA